CAGTGGCATCCACACAAGCTTTAGCTTTATTTTTCATCATCCTTTGCTCCTCTCCTCCCTGCCAACTTCCTCCTATTTTCCCATCTCTACCTACTTTTTTTTTCCTCCCGTATTTTCTACATCCTGAGCTGTGCTGACACTTACTCATGCCAAAGCAGTCTCACGTCCTCGAAAGGGGATTGTCAGATCTTCTAGAATATGGAAAAAACACAGTCGCTTGCCAGCCACACTGGTGTGCGGCACTTGGGTAATAGGCATAATAGGGTCATGCCTGCATTTAATAAACAATTACCCATCTATAATAGATGAGTCCAGCTCCTAAGGCCCAGTGCCTGGCCTGGGTTGGAGAGAGGGAAGAGAGAGAGCGGGAAGGTGAATGAATAATGCAGCGGAGTTGCCCATCAGAGCGCCCAAAACGCAGTGCCAATTATCTTCGACTGCTAATGATGATCATCTTGATGCTCTCCCCTTTTACACCCCCTAACACTGCCATGCCTAAATCTGACATTTACCCAGCTGCTCCCACACCTCACCTCACCCAACTTGCACAACACGAGCCAGGAGGCGCGTTAACCAGCATTTATTTTATTTTGGAGGGGCATCCAAAATGTATTTATTTTTTCTTCCTGTTGGTGGTCAGTGGTCATAGCTGCTCTTTGTGAATGTCAAATCAATCAGGGACTTCTCTTCAGCCGCTTCGCATTCAGTCCAAGGTCACCCAGATTACACAAGGTTAAAGTGTGCACGTGCAGGAAGACTTAGGGTGGTGGTGGTGTAGAGAGGAGGGGGGCTTGCAAGTTGGATTAGCATACAGCACTGGCAGAGCAAGGGAATTAAAGGCAGCACAGAGGTGCGATGGCCAAGCAAAATGGTCCCCGCTCGCTGCTGTATTTGAATAGAAAGCCTAAGATACGTGAAAACAGAGAGAGGAAGCGAGGAGAAGCTCCGTGGCCCCGAGGATCAGAGGGGGGAGGACCTGTGGTGCTCAACTCAGACTGCTAGTGAAGTCGATAGGGCCCCAGCAGACAGCTCCACTGTGGGCTCTGGGAAAAATACATAGCCATTTTGGCTCCCTCGGGGCCCCGAGTCTGTGGTAATAATGGGATCAGAGCCATGACCCTCCCAGGACACCGTACCGCTGTTGGATATTCTATTAGTTTTCTCTGCAGTGAAAAGAACTCCGTGCTCAGCTACTTTCCTCACTCCGGATCACATTTGTTTTACTTTTATGTCGGTTTTAACAGCGACTAATCGAATTACTTCAAGTTTCCAGGAAGAGACTTTATTAACAACAGAACAGAGTGCAGCGTTTCTTATGGCTGCCGTAAAAACCTCCTAGTATATAAACTGTGGATATCTTCTAATCATATCTAATGTTCTTTATGTATGCAAGGATATTGTAAGCTATTAACATATGCGGCAAAAAAAAAAAGAAAGAAAAAAGAAAGAAAGCCCCATAATTGTTCCTTTTTACCATTTAATCCCAGGCACTGGAAGATACAGCAGAGATCACATTAACATTTACATTTCTGAATCCCTCCACCTCCTTGATACAGTTCCAGCTTTCAGCCCCAGCATCTCATCTGCCTTTACATAATATCAGGGCGTATTAATGCTACATATGGCACTGTCTGTGCTGTGCCGATTTACATTTTTCCTAATGATGTGCTTTCATTTTTCCTCCTCTTATCCCCCGTGTCCTTCCCTTCACCTCCAGCCCACAGCCCACTGTGATTTAAAATGCATACAACTGTGCCGCTGTTTTTTACTGCGGAATAACAAAAAAAACACACACACACACACACAAAAAAAAGAGCGGGCCGAGACACCTTCGGTTGCCCCGGCTCCATCTGTTGCACATCTGGAAGTGGTGTGCGGCACCAATAATTGGAAGTCAATTTGTTTGAAGTTATGTATTTGGCATCTGGTGCGATTCATAAAAACTCTGGAAATCGCATTAATTTTATAGCATCTCGAGAAGGGCCTTTTTTAAAAAATTCAATTCTCTGTCTCTCGCGTTCCTTTGCTAATGCACGTGGGGGCCTCGGCGGTCCATTGACGTGGGAGTTTGTCGAGCGCTGGTCAGGGTGTGGTCCCTAATAAAATCAGCCCTTAGAGAATCCTGGGAAGTATTACTCTGGCGCAGTGGAGGAACACAGTCAATGGTATGAGCATTAAAATGTGATGCTCAGACTTTGGCGAAGTTTTATATATTTTTTTTTTCACCTTTAACTTTGACCTTAGCTTCAGATCGCTTCTTATTTTCCTGAAGGGGGAAAAAAACTCATGGGGGGGTAGTTTGGGTAGTTTGCCACATTTCCAGTAGATGGGTTGACTGATTGAGAAGCAGCATGGTGTTGTTTGTCACACAGCTCTGAGTCATGGCTGAAAATAGATATGACACTTGATGTTTGGTTCCTCACTGCCGGCTGTCATATTGTTATTCCCACTCAAATTTCACCTAATTTGTGCACAAGTCTTGTCACAGTCCAGATCCTGATGAGGGCTTTTACGTGGATTCCTCTCTCTCCGTCTCTCTCTCTCTCTCTTTTTTCCACCTTCTCTTCCACCTATGTGTGGCAACGAAGCTCAGTGATACACACACCCGCGCGTGCATTTGCGCGGCGAGTGTGTGTGTGTGTGTTTGTGTTTACACACGAGCACATTTGATTAGGCTTGTTTGTGTGCACGAGCGAGCGCGCGGCCCCCCGTGCATATGTCTCCGAGCTTGCCATGCCTCCAAAGTGAGTCACCTCAGCGGGAGGTGATTAAGAGTTGCCAATGGCAGGCTCGACAGGTGAGCGCATTGTAGCATGCTGGCAGCTCTGGCATCCGTGCAGGTGACAGCTTCTCCTGCTCGGCGGTGGCGTCAGTGTTGGTGGGTGGCAGGAGGTCTGACAACGTTGTTTTGGTGACAGAACGACTGCGCTGTGAGGTTCACGACATCGCTTGCCTTCTTTAGATTTGTCAGTTTATGCCGGGAAGTATATGGAGTACCCTGGACTTTAGCATATACTGCCAAGGCACAGTTCCATATGGGAAAGTAGTGTTTTCCAGCCATTGTTACACAGTAAAGGTTTTTTTAAATTCTTCTTTTATTGGCTTTTCTTAAATAATCCACCACAAATGTTCCCTATTGGCACCACAGTCCTGCATTGAGTTTCTTTTCATTACTGCACAGTGTGATAACAACACACAGCCAGCTGCTGCCACCTGCTGTTGCAATCAGGATACAGCAGCAGCCTTTTCTTTTCTTTCCTCCTTTTTTTTTTGCAGTCGTGGAAGTGAGGTAATTCACCGAAGGGGACCATGTTCCTGTGGGTGCTTGTACTATAACAGAAGGGAGGTGAAGTATTATTTTACTAGGTGCACTATTTTTTTTTTCTTTGCAGATTCTGTAAGAAGCTAGAATCCCATCTGTTTCTCTACGACGGAAATTAGGTAAGGACTATAGCGCGTGAGACAAAGATTGAGAGAGTTGCGCAATTGGAAATACACCCAGATTTGTTTTACATGTTCAAGTTTAACTCCTCACACATGCAAGCTAATGCCTCTAACATGCAGGCGAACGTGTTTTCTCCACCCGGCGCAGACACAAACCCTCCGAGTTTTTCAAACCTGGGCTTGATGAGCTGTGATATTCCTAATAAAAAGTCACTTGTTCTGATGTCACTGTTGCCTCATCCGACCACATTTCCTTTTGAAGCATGTGCACAACGGACCTTGAACTTTGCCTGTGATAGCTTTTTGATATGGAGGAAATGAATTAGTTAGGAAGTGTGGAAGTGTGTTTTGTCTATTGAGTGTGAATGTTTTGGTTTTGTTTTCTTTTTAATTGACACCTTTTTTAAAATGTTCTTGCTTCATATCCTTCCAATACTTTAACTTCAACAGAGAGTGCTGTTTTGTTTTGTTTAGCATAACAGAAATCTGTATTTGCCTTCTATAACTGATTTGGAAAGTTACCCGTAAACATCACTAATCACTTTGTAGTTTGAAGTGGCTGCGCTCCAAACCAATTGATTGGATCTTCTCTTTATTTGCAGCTGAAGAGGAGATGCGAGTGGGATACGTTTCGATTTCAGTACACACTAATAAGACTCTGAAACATTAATTTGAAGAGGCTTTGATGAGAAATCCATTCGGGAAGTATTGGCGTGTTTGTTGTATTATTAATGCATGACCTCATGATTAGAAAACCGCTTGTTGATGTATGATTTTTGTCAATGACACAGCTACACTTTTTTTTCGTCAATATGAGATCAAAGAGTTTTTATTTCTGTGTCGCACAGAAAGTTTCTGCGGCTAACTTTGATACAGATTGTTTATAATCGTATTCCGAAAAGGACACCATCTCCACAACCTCTTACCTCAAAGGAAACTTTCTCGGCTCTCGGCTAACAGCTCTCAGAGCAACTCTTTATCCGTCGCCATTATTCATCCTCAAGGGCTCATCAGCTCACAGTGGGCTCATCAGAATTATTACTCCTCCTCCACTTGTCTTTATTATCTAATTTCCCTCCTCTCTCTTCCTTTCGGCCTCTCGTTGCCAATCAGCCACCTTGTAAGGCTCTTCGCCTTTCACTATGAATCTTTCCGGGCTTTTTTATTCACTCCTGTTGTCATCCAGAATGTGCTTTTCTTTTCGTTTTCTTCTTTTTTTTGCCAACTAGTCACTTTGTATCGAGTTTTTACCTGCAGGTTTGTGGGTGCTGAGTTAGAAGTAAAAGTTTTTGTAGCAAAGTGAGAAATGTGTTGCTTGGATGTGACAGATTGCTAACTGCAATTCCTGACGGTGGCTACAACAGGTGTGACACTCAGGAACAACTGTTTGAGGAAGGGTGCACCAATGAATCCAGCATGACAAGAAATAAGAAATACAAAAAAAAAGGGGTTTATTACGTCGTTCCCACCCCTACAAAGAAGTTTTTAAAAAAGGTGTTAGATAATAATATATATACTTTTTATGAATAAATGGATTAAAACATATAAATACACCAACATTTCAAACAAAAAACATTTCAAAGACACTGATGAGGACGTGTTAGGCATTGGGGTGAGTACGTCAGTACTGGTCAAATAAGGCACATCAAATAATGCAACCATCTGCAACGTATTAACATGATCTTTTGTAAAGAATTAATGCTTTCATGAAAGGAAACACCTTTGGTATGTTTTTAGTGGTTATTTTGCATATGTTACAGTGTGTGGCCACCACAGTGTGTTTAAAAAAACAGTAGTCATTAACATTATGTACTTATAATTGTCTCCCTTTTTCTTATAAGTCTTTTTCAGCTGTGTCTGGGAGGCAGAGAATAGTTGAAACGTTCTGTAGTAAAGTTAAAAAAGAGCAGCCGGTCCGTGGTGTGCTCACAGGATGTTTCTGTTCCCGCTCAGCTTTGGCGAACGTCAGTGTTCTGTAGCTTCAACACTCAACTGATCGACAAGGACTACACGCTTAATGCACAGGTGGCACTTTAAAGGAGTGCTGTCAGCTGTCGTTTAAATTACTTGCAACCCTAGTAGGAGTCTTAAATGTATGCTCGGAGCCATCGCTCAGTCATTTAAAGGCCACGTGGATGCCCTTTACCGACAGGGATTATAGGTGATAAAGAGACTGAGGGCACCCTTATAGGTCATCACCCTCGGCAGAGCTGAAGCTGCTCCTGCGGCTGCTGTCCTTGGATGCAGCTCCGGGGGAGCCGGCCGAGAGGAGCGGATCGGTGCCAAACGGCGACAGCGGGTCATCCATCAGGATCTCATCCAGCTGGTGTTCCTCCTTAAGCGTGGTGGTGAAGAAGTCTGTGAAATGGGACAGCGGGTCGGAGAAGGTGGTGCAGGCGTCAGTGCCACTAATGTGATCCTGCGGCCCGCTGACGGTGGCGGTGGATGGCACGCCAGATGCCGCAGCTATCCTCTGGAGGTAGTCGTTGTTGATGTCCTCTTGGTAGAGAGTTGGCTGCTGAGGTTGCTGGGCCTGGGGAGATGATTGCTGCTGCTGATGTTGCTGTTGCTGCTGCTGCTGTTGTTGTTGTTGTTGTTGTTTGAGTAGGTGGGAGGAAAGTTCGACCGTCCCCAAGGCTGTGGCCATGTTTGGTAGCCCGTGAGCTCGTGCTTGAATCTCAAGCTCCTGGAAAGCAAAGAAAAGAAACCTTTTAAAAAATAATAGGTTTAGAAAATGTGTGCATGCATGGCGAGAGCAGGCATAGGTTCAAAGGTGCTGGGGCTGGAGGTGGGTTGCAAAGCAGTTTGCAGCTGTAGGTGAAGCTGCCAACTGGATGCACAGATGGATGTAAGCTGAGACGTCAACTTTTTTTTGAAAAAAAAAAAAGCTATGTGTAGTATCTGAATAACCATCTAAAACTGTGTGAAATTCATCAGTTATGAGCTGACGTCTTTAACTGATATGGGAGTAGCTCTGACACAATCACAGTCACACCCTGGCTTCACCATCTCCTCCACATTCTGAGGTTGGATTGGGAGGTTCACTGCGTAATCTTCTCACACTTTTACAGAGTACATTATCTGCGCTTATCACCCATCAGTGACACCACAAAGCCCCGCTGTTGCATTAAGCCCTTTGTTTGCTGCCCTTTTGTCGGGGTTGGTTATTGTTTCACACGTACTTTTATCATCATTTCTGATTACACATACTTTTTTTTTTTTTTTTTTAGCATTCCCATCATTGAAATCCACTCTGGTTAACCACAGTGAATGAGTGTGAAAGTCTGCATGTGCATAGTGCAATCCTATCAGCACACATTTATCAGTAAGCATCTCTTCTATTAGTGCTCTTCATCTATTTATGCCCCTGCTGCATTCCCTGAGGTCGCAGAGCTGAGGTCATTGTGTTTATTTATCAGGTAATTAGCACTGACCTCTATAAGAAAAGATTATGGGATGTGAGGGATCTTTTGTAAAAGAGAGTGGCGGTGAAGGTGGCGGGGACTGTGGGAGTCCCTAAGTTTGCGTTGTGGTGTCGTAAAGCATTCAGGTGGAAATTAGCGTGAAGTACCTGGGGATGATGGATGTGGGACTGGCAGTTACCAGCTGATCTTTGGCAGGAAGAACTCAGTATTGTAAAAATAGAATTAAAATATGATGCTGTGTGCTGATTGGCTTGTAAAAATGTATATGAAATATAAGTTCCTTCTTTTTCTCTCCGTGTTTATCAAATGTGTCAAGCACTTTATCTGCATTTATACCACAGATATAAAGTAAACCCACTCAGACAATCACATCTTATTACCTGGATCCTCAGGAGCAGCCTCCTATTGGCTTGCTCCAGCTTCTTCTGACGGCTTTCCAGCTCCCGGGCGTGCTGCTGCTCCTTCTGCAGCCATCTTATGTACTCCACCGAGGCCTTGAGGATGGTGCCTTTGTTCCACCGCATGTCGCTGCAGAAAGGAGAAACGTAAAAGATAACCTTTTACACACAACCCCCTTATGTCGGCAGAATATCCTTTGCAATAAAAAAAAAAATGCAGGGAAAAGTTTTAACAGAGGTTTTTTTTTCTCCCCCTTTTTTATGATATGAATAAGAAATGGTGATTTACACGGGGCAATTATTCATCCTTGGACATTACATGGGGACACTGAATGGGAATTTTAATAGAATAGTTAAGTAGCTATGTGGAAAGTCCATTCTTGTACCTCCTTGTACGGTAAAATTAATCCTCGAATAAAAATAGGTGAAGGGAAAATGAGCTAAGCAGAAAGGCAAGGAGAAAAATGGAGAAATGGACTTAAGGTGCTAGAGTGCAAGTCGTTCTTTTGGAGATATTATTACTTTTTTAAAAGAGGACAGGGAAGCTGTAGTAAAATTGTCCTTTTCTACACGAGTGAGACGTTGGCCTGATCAGCGCTAATAATCTCTTTTATCCCGCGTTAATGGCACGACGACAACGCTAACCTTCCATTTAAATTTGAAGCAAAGTTCAACTGCGAAAGATGGCCGCGGGATTTCAATTCAGTTCCACGCTCCGTCTCGGTGTTCCAATTGTGCTTCAAACTTTGATTCAAATGGCATGGCCCGCTTCTTTGCATTTGACCCTTTCCTCATCATTCATGCTTTGAGCTGAACTGCCGGGACCCGGCGAGGAGACGTACAGCTCGGAGAGCGTCGACTACAATGAGAGTTCAAGTGCACCCTTGAAATATGACTGAAATGTGCTCGAGCACTCATTTGAATTCAATGAACGACGTTTCGAGTGTCTTTGTGCTGCGATTTTTAATACCCAACACACAGGTTCTTGCAGTTGTTTCAGTGGCGTGAAGTGAAGCGAAGCAGGAGGTGGGGTGGGCGGGGGAGAATTTTTCAGTAAATATATTTAGGATTTTGCAACTTACGGATCATTCGATTTTGGTATGAGTGTTCCAAGCTCCTTAATCCTGTAGTTGATGTTGTATCGTCGCCTTCTTTCAACTGTGCAAGCAGAAAGGAAAAAAAAAAGGGAGCAAAAGTTGATGAGAGCAGTGTCAGATGCTGCACCAAAGGTTATCCCAGATGTTAAAGTATTATGGAGCTGAACGGCGTGGGTTGGAGGGGGTGACACTTACTCAAATTATGGTTGTCTTTTTTCTGCCTCTCTTTGGCCATCACCCTTGTGTCGAGTTCTGTCAAAAAAAAAGCAAAAAAAAAAAAAACATAAAAATACACGAATAAATAAATCACGCAGGGGAACGAATGGATTAGCAATGCACACAGATTTAGAAACTGAAAGACAACAAATACAAAAAGCCACAGAAGGTCCAGTCAGGAGACGCACAATCGGCCGTTTTGAGGGGAGTTCAGCGCCGGGGTCAGAATGAGGAGTGTCTGTGCAGCGAGTCTACACTACGGACATAAATTTGACCTCCTTACACACACGCTGACCCCCGGTTCATCCCCCTCCAGCATGTATGAAGCTCATTGTAAAGAAAAAGAAAAATGGTAACCGCATTTTTTTTTTACTGCAAAACATTCTAGAATTAAGAAGATTTAGCGAATTGACTCATCCGTCCGAGAAGGACAAAAATTCCAGTGTATCCATATTTGTAGTCACGTTCTCCTAAATTACATAATTGGGGACCTGAGATTGGATTTCCCAATTTGTCTCTTGTTGATTTAATCAGGACAATTTGAACTCTGTGCAACAGCCCATTGTCCCCTCTGCCTACACTCAAATGAAACAGATGACAATGTTCTTACTTGCTCATTGAGACTGAAGGATTTCATTTATTTATTTATTTTTGTTCAGGCATCCTTTCTGTTTCCTAATCAGCTTTCGTCTGGGTGTTTGTAATTGATATGAACAAAAAAAACCTAAAAGGATCTCTTTTTTGTTGTTGTCGTTGTTGTTGTTGTTACCTTGAGATGAAAAGTCTCCACTAGTGTCTAACAAAGGGAACTTTGTTTTAGCTTCTATTTTTTTTAGGTTTCACAATGTGAGCAACTCTTTAATGGTTTAGCTGTTTGGTCAGATTATGGTATGAGTTCATACCTGTGTATTCCCTTTTTACAGTGAGCTTTGTAGGGTTAGATGTAGGACTCAGTCCACCATTAGGGGCGTTCATACCTTGTTCACCCCCATAGACGTCCAACATGCTGCTGCTGAGAGACACCTAGGCAGGAGAGAGGGGAGATGCAGAGGAAGAAAGGGGAGTGAGTTAAGTGAATGGGAAGTGCATTTACATTTCACACATTCACACGCACGTAAACAAACAGGGCTTTCACACTTTGACACAAAAGCCGCCAAACAAACAGTTGTTTTTAGCTGCTGTGTGGCTTTGTTTGGCAAAACTGACAAGAAACATGTGGAGTGATCAGAGCCTTGAAGTGATCAGATTGTTAGCATCTCCTCCACTCTACCCGGGAATGTGGCAATGGAGTAAAAACAACTTAACAGAAACGCAACCTAATTGTAAGACGTTTTACCCCTGACCTCGAACCCAGGCTTGCTGCTCGCCAAGGGGCCGATTTGACCAAACATAGCGCCTTGATTTGCTAATGGTACCATTTTCAGAACCCCTCCAGATGAAAGTGCTCCTAACACTGATTCGCTCTGTGTTGAAAATAGCATCCCATTAGATGAAAAGGCTAGCTAGGTCAACTGCACGAACAGAGGCAAAACTGTTTTCCTACGGGTGTCTTCTTGTCTGAGAACACATGTATCCCCCCCTCTGCAATAATACGGCCTTTTCATGGAGTGGAGGGAGAGAGATGTCCGGATCTTTAGCATGATGACACACGTGTGTGTCTAATTCGCATTTGTGTATTTATGTCGAAAAAAAAAAAGCATGCCAGAAGCCACCACGGATTCCAACTAATTTTATCTCCAACGTGTGTTAGATTTAACAACCACGCTGTTATATGTGGAAAAAGGAAGTCAAGAGAAAATGAGTGTTAGCTGGTTTTAAAAATATATGTGTGTATATATATATATATATATATAATATATATATATATATAGGAGGAGAGGACAAAATTGCATATCAAAATAAAAGATAGGAACAATTCCCCTACTACTAAAATTGTAATCACTTCAATTTCTGTCCCGTCTGCGTTCCTGAGTGTGTTGACACAGCGAAACGATGTGATGCATCGTACCGTATGACTAATTAGGATGAATTGATCCATTTAAGCACGGTATCATTTCTGAACAAGCCCATGGGGACTATGTGCATTAGGCCAATCCACTGGCTCAGTAACTCTCTCTGGCAAAAATCTCTCACTCTTCGCTCCTGGCTGTTGCATTCCTGTCTACATTTGAAACCCACTGACTCGCCCTCATTCCTCCTCCTCCATTACAATGTCTGTTGTGTTTTACTCTGTTTTGCTTTATCTGTGTGTGTGTGTGTGTCTCTCTATCTCTTTATTTGTGGAGTTAGGCCTGATTCCCATTGTGTAGCTATGTTCTCTGGCCAAACGGACCTCTTGTTCCAGAGTTTTTGAATTCTTCCCTGTCTGTGAATCCTACTGATCCATCAGTGCATCCACCTTGTTTTTGCTAAAGAGTTAAAAAGTTTGCATTTTATGTGTTTGGGTTTTTTTTTTTTTTGACTGATTTAAAGTTTTCCTTTATGTTACTAAATGCTTTAATGCACTAATCTAAATGTCAGGTTTAGATTTGATTACTTTGAGAGCATTTTTTGGATTTTTTTTTGGTTATGCGCACATCATTACAGACTAGTATAAAAAGACCTTTCTCACATGTGATTTTCCTATGAATTTACTATACATTTAGCTTTTGTTGTCAAATACATGTCATCACTTTTCCTTTAAAAAAAAAGTTCTTAATCTGCTTTGTTAAACTTCCTTAGTAATGTTGCTAATCTCAAGTGAACTTTGACTCATTTCTAGACTTAAGCTGACCTCAAACTGAGTCGGGTCCCCTTTTTCCCAAGCGAGTCAAACCAGCACCTGAGGGTTTGGGTAAAGAAACCTCACTTTCAAGTCCCCATTCAACTTTAAAAACAGAGAAGTGATTAGTTAAGGGGACTGTCACAAATCTAGGCTCACCTAGTTTAACCCACAGAGGCAGCCATGCAGAAATGCAGAAATCAGCACAAAGCATTATTTTTTTTTAAACAACGGGGGGGGGGTTAATGAGTAGCTATTAGAGCAAAGTTGATGTGATTCATACTTACATTGTTTTGCATTATGATGTTAGGCTCCATGCAATCCAAGCCTCCATCATTGAAACCGGATTCAAGACTAATTAGGTCATCAATAACTTCATCCATTGGAAACTAAAAGAAAACAGTGATTTCAGTGTACTCAAGGACAGACTGATGATGTTTGTACGAGAATTTCAATGCTGTCCAATTCGTTTGAAATCTCAACATTCAAACCAGAATAGACAAGGGAAAAAGAGGGAGGAACTGTGGAGAGATTAATTCAATAACAGACGAGCTCTTCGCCGCCATGTTCTCAGATTTGTTAGTGGTGCTGGCGGGAAAAAACAGGCATCTGTTACCAACCTAGTTTCCTCCTTTGAAAGGGGTTCTCTCATCAGAGACTGCATGTCTGAAGTTATTGATGAGCACATCAGAGAGAGAGGGCGATCAATAATGGCATCACTTTGTTTAGATGATTAGTTGGACCTGCTCCATGCATTAAGATTCAGACCCAATCCAGATAGTACATTTAGTCATAATTGATGCTTCTGAAGTATGCCCTGTGTCAGCTATCCATCTCAACAAAGTGTCAGCCATTATTTATCACCCTTAGAAAGAAATTAGAGGGGCAGCAACAAATCTTTCACAAGTGCTTATTAAAAATCAACAGAGAAGAAAAGCTTTGCTTTAAAGTAACAGGCTGTGCTGAAAGGAAAACCTTGTAAGGATGTTGTGTAATCTACAAAACCCATGAACCACAGTTCATCCGTAAGTGACCCAGTCTGTGGTTCAAAACTTCTGTTTCAATTTCACGGCCGTAGTTCTCTGAATTTCAGTTCCACAAAGTCATGACTGAGATTCTTTCCTTTTCCATGCGTCCACTCACCTCACTGTCATGATTGGCCATCGTAAGCAGGGTAACAGGGCTGTTGGGGTTACTGCTGTCACTGACAGGGGGCATGTGTCCGTTCCTCATGATCGGCACGGTGGCGAGTGTCTGGCCAGGGGTGTGCGGATGTGTCACGGCGTGGCCTGATGCGGCCGAGGAGGCCAGCTTGGAGCCCAGCGTCAGGTACTGCTTCACGGGCTGATTCTGGCTCTGGTGGAGATGGAACTTGGAGTTCTCCAGGTGGCTCTGTACCTGTAGCAGAACAGATCATTCAACAGTTCAGCAAGCTGACTAAGTTAGTCCAGGAAGCGCAAGGTTGGGCACTATTTCCCATACCGCTGAAACAGCGCTGACTCAGAGTATTTGCACAGGGGTTGTCCAAAACAGCTGTTGACTTGACATGAAAAGAATATCTAAAGTAACACACATATCTAGTTTGCCGTGATTAGTCACTTATGCGCAGTAAATTTACAGACTTGCAAAATGTAAGTTAGCACTCATAATAAAGTGAATCATGTACAGAAATAAAAATGTTGAAAGTGTCTTTATGGGAATTTGATCTCATTCTCTGAACTCATTTTCAGTCTAAAAGTTAAAAAAAAAAACCTAAAAGCAAAAAGCTTTTCTTCCCCCCTGAGACTTCAGCTGAATTTAACCAACTATGCAGACTATTTTTACAATCAGTCTTAATATTTAATCTTCAGTTGATCTTGAATTACATGTCAGTACAGCAATAGTCAAGATAACCTTAAAAAAACATTATGAAAGCAGTGTTAAATAAACTTTACCAAGCCGCTCACAATGTTTCTAAAAGTTGGTATTCTTACATTTGAAGCTCTGGTTGCATCCCGCATTGTGTAGTAACTGCAGTCACTTAAGTGTGGCATTCTCAGAAAAGCAGATAATCTTCAAATTGATTTGTTCTGGTGTGGCAGCAGGTCAACTTTAGGGATCCACGGCTGCTGCTGCTGCTGCTATCCTGTTGATCTGGTGACTTCTCAGTGAGTGTCTGTCCCTTCCAGTCTCCCTACCAGCTCTTTATAAAGGGCCCTAAGTGAACTAATTAGGCCCAAAGCTGGGTGTAAGCCTTTATGTTGCGTAGCAATGATAATCACTTCAAACACTGGACTGTTAGATCATCCAAGGTTTGATCACTGCAGGGTATCTGCCTTTAGCATCTATCACTAACTCCCTCAGACCGCCCTTTTCTTTCTGCTTGACCAATCAGTAGTGATCTCCCAAAGTCCACTGCAGCCTGCTGTAGGGGTTGTGGCAGCACAATTGACCCTTGTTCCCCATTGAAGTTTTTAAATAACTCCTCCAATGCCATTTTTAACCAAGCCTTTCAATTCATTCAAGGCTTTTAAAGTAAATAGTTTAGTATTATGCGTTCCCCATACAATAACTGCAGTAAATCTGTTTTGAGGTCTCCTTTGGTGTAAGTTGAGGGCAAATTTAGGAGAGAACATCTCTCCTAAAATATCAAATTTTCATGCTTGTTGGTGCTCACAAAGACGGTTGCTGTCGTGACTTGCTTTATTAGTTTAGGGGCTGCAGAGTATTTAGGGGAGTACATGACGTGTTAGCTGTGATTTAAGAATGGTAGTCTTGTTGACTGTAATAGGTTGGTCAGTTTGCCTGTGTCTCGCTTACTTCCTCCCAAATCTGTTTTATCTACTGGTCAAAACAGCAAGCTCTCAATTATTTTAAACCATGGAATAGATGCTCTTTCAGGGACTGACGGAATCAGGACCCACCAAAAACTGAGCAACAACAAGCTCAAGAAGCTTCGATTGGCCAGACCAGTACTACTCGAACATGATTTGAAAATGCAGATATTTAATGTGTTCCTAATTTCATGGTAACACATTTAGATCACAGGCCTTAAAAACAGGTGACAGGTGTCGTTTATGTCAAGATGAGGAAAGCAGCTAGCTTATTTAAAACGCCAAAAAAAAGTATCATCAGCTGTTGGTTAGAACAGTCCAGGTGTTACTTCTTCTTTTACGCTGCCTCAGAAAAAAAAAAATAGTCAGAACTGAGTTTTTATGGAGGTATCCTTTATATCGTCATGCTTTCAGACCTAACTTCTTATTCTTCAAATGCTATCTGGCACACCGCTGCTGAACTGTAGGGAGTTTTTAGTTTTGACAGCTTTAGAATTGGTCTTTATGCTAAAAGTCAGCATTAAATTCCCCCTTGTCAGCTAGACTAGCTGACCTTATTCACGACTCAGCCACCTAACTAAGACCAGGCTCATCACAATACTCATCTTGTCAGTAGTGACTAAGAGTTGTTATCTGAGTTCTCCAGGCTAAACAAGATGCCAGTTGTTAGCCAATCAACATTTTTTTCCACTTTGGATAGCAGGAGGGATGCCAGGACCGCTGCACACCACATCTGCTTTGTGTGACAGCGGATTGTCCTGGTTTCACTTCAGCTTTCTCACTACTGTAAATGCCGGAGACACGCTTGTTATCCACTTAAGGAAATCTGATTAGATTTGAGGAGTAATGGTGCTTCAGTCACCAAGGCCAGCCTCGACAATGGCAGGCCTGTGCATGTGTGAAGCGGGCATGCAGGAAAATTATCAGTGCCCGCCATACAATTGGGTCAGGAGAGAATATAAGAATGTAATCAATCAGGAGTTTGGGCATGTTGTAGCTATTCAGATGCTTCAGTTTTGTTTTGTTTTGGTTGTTTTCCTCTTTTTCGGCACGGCTACCAGCACCTGCTACAACAATCGAGGCAGTGTTTGAGATTATTGGCACAGAGGAGGTCATGGGTTCAGTTTTCTATTTACACACATTTGCACAGTTATTCCTGACATGCAAACCTACATTAGACTATGAAAGCTTTTTGCCTTTTGACTTCATGCACATAGTTTAACTTTAGAACACACCTTCTTGTCAGCATATTTCAGAGTGTTTGAATAAAATAATATATATCTGCATCTTCCTCACTTTTCGTCATTAGAGATATTAGACCACTAAAATAAAAATGCCAAAACCCAGAACGCGCCTTTGTCCCTACATATGTCCTAATCAAATCTAAAGCACTCTACAGTACACGCCCAAGAAATCCCATCGCAAGTGAATACAACTGCAGCTCTTCAACATATCAATTCAAAGCTCTGTCAGGCTTAAAATAAAGCAACATCCCAAACCTCAGCTTCTACTTACAGATAGCAGCAGGCCCGAAATTACAGTAACACCTTCGCAGCTAAACGTAAGCCCAGTTCTTTAGCCTCTATTTGTGAGATCCATTTAACAGTGGTGTCATTTACCTCGCGGTTAAGAGGCGTATTTCTTTAGTGGCCCTCTCCCCCCGAAATGCTGCACTCACAAAGCCATTGTACTAGACAACCTTGCAGGTTTTACATCGAAAGGCACAAAGCTCTTGCCTAATCCAGTTTCAGTCTTGCCCAAGTTCTCCTTTCACTTCAGAAAAATCCAACAACTTATGAAACACTGGGTGATGGTGACATTAGCTAGCTGTACAAATTATGGGCAAAACCTACTAGGAGTTTTGGATTCATTTCTGCAAAATGCCGCACTTTGCGACATATTGATGCAGATTATAAACATCTAACATCTTGTTTTCCCATCTCAAATGGATGGAGATAATTTGAAAGTGGAACAAAGCTCTTCCTCGGTCATGCTTACTGTATTTTGCTGAGCCTGCTAACCAGTAAATAGCTGTAACCACCCACTAGATTGTGCAATGTGAGGAAAGATAAGACTGGGATAGCGAACTGATAGCAAAAGTCCCATTCCACGGTGCCTCCATGGTTAGTCTGGCTGTAACTGCAAATGTGTCTTGCGTGCAAACAAATGCACACATAGAATTTAACACAATGTTTTCTTCAGTGTGTGTCATTGCCTCAAAATCCCTGGGCTGTAAATAAGTCATTTCCCCTACCTGTAAAAGTTGGATCTCTGTCAAGGTGATTACTTTGACCACACAACAGCGGCTCATGGCTCTCCAGAGTGGCAGCGTCTCCCACCACGGGAGGTGCAAATCCTTACAGAAGAAGAACAACTGTCACAGCCACAGCGTCGTCTCACACCGTGACAGGAGGAGAAGAAGAGGAAGAAAAAGAGAGGTGCTGCAGCCTCCTTCCTGAATTTTTTTTTTTTCAGAAATATCAGAAAGGAAGCCATGACACATCAGCTTATTTGGGAGCAGCACGAGACGTTTCCTCTCTGTAGCTGTGTGTCTGTGTGTGTGTTTGGTCAAGGAAAAGGCCTGACAGAGGCAGAAATACAGATGGCATTTACAGTAGGGGGTTGAAGTAAGTGTGTGTATATGTGTGTGTGCGAAGCCATAATAAGTTGACAGAATGTGAATTCCTGCTTGCTTGTAGATCACTACACTTTCCTGCTTTTCCCGCATAACATCCAGCCTAGCTCAGCGCAGTTTCCTGTCTTCATGACACCAACTTCCCAGTGGAAGTCATTTTATCCACAAAACTGTAGTCACTTTTCCAACACAGGGAAACAGGAATCTTGAGAATGTGTGCAAACATGCTAAAACACACATTTTATTATGTTTTAGTTATTATTAGGCCAAAAATCCTTGAAAAGTCCTCTCTTTAATCCCAAGATTTACAAGTTTTTATATTAGCAGGTGAATAAATCTGAATCAGAGTTGCTCCGATACATGTTCTGGGGTGAACTCCACAATGGTCCTGACAATTTAAGAACTCAAATTTCATATAGTAATTCTTTTTGATTCACTGTAATAAACACATCAGGATTAATTTGAGGACATTGAACATAATGGCTTAAACTGAATCACAATGATTCAATTAAATCAATCCTGTGCAGACTTTGGGTTTTAAAAGTCTTCTTTCAGCAGTTTAAATGCAGCCTGCCCCACACGTGTCTATGGTCAATGTTTTCATTACACAAAGAATGCCCTTCTTGATGCTACTGTACACAGTAATCTTCTGTGTATATAGTGGATCTAGATCATTTTGTAATATTTATGCTGCACTATCTGGATTCTGTTGCTGCTGTTTGACCATCAACACAAGGCATGCCCATCTCGCCAGCTTATCTGTTGCTTTGTTTTCCTGCACTCGTTTTTGTACTGTTCTAACCATTACCCATGTGTATATTTGTCCACTATTTTGTTTATTTGATGTCTGCTGTATGTACGCTCCATCAGATCTAGGCAAAGATTCCTGGCTGGCCATTTTTGGCTCATCTTGGGGCAAGCCACAAGTGCTCACCTTTGTTAGTCCCCCTTCATAGCATGTTTTAAACATCAGGGACTTCCTGTAAGAGTTGGCCTGCTTCTGAGACAACACTTCAAAGTGCAGCGCCCACATCTGAGGACTGTTTTATCCTGCTAGAAAAGGAATGCATAATGGACACAGCACCACTGCACTTTTAATGATTCTCATATGAATTAAATATTATAGCTATTTTAACTGGATTACACGTGAAACTGTGTGCGAGAGCATGCACTTGTTACCTTGATGAAATATTGAATTTAAGAAAATGGTTCACCTCAGCAGTGCTGCGAAAATAATTAAAATTCATACTTAAAGTAAAGACATCTCACTGTAAATTGATTTAAAGGTGCCCTGTGGAGGTTTGATTGTAAACAAACTTCTTTTTAAAAAAAAAATGCCATCATTAATTACAAAAACACGGGTAATATTTTGAAGCCTGAGAGAAAATGCAATGTAAATTCGTACAGCGCCATTAGCGGTACATAACTACAGCTGTGGTTAAAAAAGAAAAACTGATTCCTGTAAGTACACAAACAAAACCTATTTAATTATATTTGACTGATATAGCAAGCAGAGGACTTAGTTGTGAAACTATTTTCTCTGGTTTTAACTCCAAGTCATATATAGAAAAATATTTTCTTAATCAGTTTACTTAACAGTTCACTTTCCACTGAATTTTGGTTTAAAAATGTAGTGAACTAAAAATATGAGCTACTGTAGCAAAGTGCACATACCTGACATAACTCACTAATAGACTAACAAAGTGTGTATTTGTGGCTGACTCATTTACCTTTAATTTTACAAATGAGTATTACATAAATAGCTACAGTCAGCTGAAGGTCTTCAGAAAGCTGA